TGAGCCAAGTCTTATGAGTGAAATTAGGTAGACGGAAATCTTGGGGGCCGTCGATAGCTGTGCGTGTCCGAGGGCTTGAGCGTCCTTGTTCAAATTTTTCATCACGCTAGATAACACGCTATTTCCCAGAAACTGTAAGTAAGGTCTGTTCAGCATAGTTGTAGTATAAACCACTGGTGGGATCTGTGGGTGTTGAGCAAACACAAATGTGCCTGAGCGGGCGTCTGCAATAGGGATTGACTAGCCGCCATAGTGGACGGGTATCCTCGAGTACGTGTGGCCAGTTTATATATATATATATATATATATATATATTATTTCATTATTTTTTATCGCTAAATGTTTATCGCGATAAAACATACATACACTCACACATATATGTGTGTGTGTGTGTGTGTGTGTTTTATCGCAATAAACATTTAACGATAAGAAATAATGTTGAATTAAAAAATTAACTTATGTCCTACAGACGTGCTGTGGCCTCCCTCTGTCTCTTCTACAAATATTTTCACGGCAACTGTTCCGACGAGATACTTTCGCTGGTTCCCAGACTGCATGAATTTAAGCGAGCTACCAGGTTGGCATCTCGGTCCCACCCTTTCACTGTCAAAATGGTTAAATATAACCGTCTCTTCTACTCAAACAGATTCTTCTCCCACACTTCCCATCTGTGGAACTCCTACTCCTTACTTGCTTCCCCGATGATTATAATCTTCAAATATTCAAGTGTAATGCCAATCGACATCTGACACCCTGAGCTTGTTCCTCGTCCTTCTCTGTAACCTTTCCTCAAACACGCCTCTTTACCCTTGTTCTCAATCCTCTGTAACCCCTTGCGTGCTAGTGCCAACCCGCCTTGCTTGGGGTGAATTGCCTTAAAAAAATGTCACGTTTACTAGCAGGTTTCCGGTGAGATGTGTAGATAGTCTTAAGTAAGTAAATGAAGGCTACTTTATCACGAAGGTATACCGTGGTCAAATTGGTAGGAACACGCTTCGGTAGATAACGAGAGGACACAGAATAATATTTTTCTATGGTAGAATTCTACATATCGAAGCCGGTTGACATTAATTTCCTGTGTAAAATTCTAGTGATATCAGCTCTTAAACGTACGCCATTAAAAAGGACGTTTATAGTAATGAGAAATAATGTCTGATTCTAAACATTCGTTAATTGGTTGATATCGATTGATTGATTGATTTTTTACAGCTTATATTCTGCGTTTTACGTCTTATTTCAGATTGGAGAAGGTCACTTATAATTGTTTAATATATATATATATATATATATATATATATATATATATATATAGATAGATAGATAGATAGATAGATAGATAGATAGATAATATTAGTGGTAAATATACACATACATATGCAAAATATATAAATATATATACATAGGTGCATACACATACATGAATATTTTTGGAATAAAAATTCCAAGAGGATAGAATCCAGGTAGAACTCAATGTCCAGGACAGAGTAAAGATATAATAAAAAGGCTTAAACACTAATATTCCATGGTCATAATATATTCCATTGGAATCGTAAATACGATCCAATTCATCAGACCTACAAATATATATATATATATATATATATATATATATATATATATATATATATATATATATATATATTAAGCAAATATAAGGGACCTGGTAGAAGCCGAAGCTTTAAATAGCCCACAAATGGTTGATGCCGTGTGTGCGAGTGATCCGTCTAGTTGGACCACTAAGGGACCATACGCACACACACACATGAACCCTACACACCATACGAAGTGTGTGTATAGATGTATAAATATATACTATTTCCTTTATTAAAACTATATATGTGTATGGAGAAGAAATATGCATACTAGCAAACACATACACACACAATACACAAAAATGGATATAGTTTTAAAAAGATACATGGATCATAAAAAGATAAGAACAAAGACCCCCCCTACCTCTGACCAATCCTAATGGTTTTATTACCCCTTAAGCAGAAGAAGATTTTCTATACAAGTCCAAGAAAATTAGAATTACTACTACACACAAAAGACAATGGTTAAACACGGGAAAAAAGGAAAATTCCTTTGAATATGTGGAAATAACCACTCTTCGCATGATGAAGGTCACAAGACCTAAAACTCGTATAGCAAAAAATATGGATAATAAAGTATAAAGTATATTTTTAAAAATCTACATTATAACCAAAATGGTTTGCGGCTTTTCTCTTCTCTTTAATATATATATATATATATATATATATATATATATATATATATATATATATATATATATATAAACCAACTTTCTCTTTCATTACCTCTAGAACAATGGCGAAAGACAGGTGGTGAACTTGATATTCTGAGCCTAATGCCACATACGTTTAATGGGTGGCCTAAGCTAAAAAGGGGAAAAAATAATTGTTTTTTGTTCTATTTTTGTAAAACCAAAATAGAACCTCAACTGAAGGAAATATTTTCAATTATATTTTTATCTACTCAGTCCTATTTGCATTTAGGTGTCGTAGTAGGCATTCCTTGTCGTTTCCTTCTCGTTTTCTTCTCTTTTGCTATTTTATTCCTTTTTTTATATGATACGAAGAAAAAATCCTATCTCTGTTGTCAATAAGTTAAGTGCTCATCAATAATTCACAAGCCACTGTCACTCAATAGTGAAATTTGAAACTTTTCAATAACTAAATGTAATAACGGTAAATTTTCAAAAAACACGACACTTGTCACACACACACACACACATATATATATATATATATATATATATATATATATATATATATATATAAAAAAAAATAAAAAAAATTAAAAATGTCATCTACAGACTGACTGTTTCACAGCGAATCAGATTGCTTCAAACCGGGATCGAAAACCCAACTGATATGGTATATGTCAGAGATTCTACCCCTAAGCCATTGGCACACGGCGGGGATGAACGTGTATTTATTTTTAGATAAACACGCCAGTGACTGGAGAACTCGATTCGTCTTACCGAAGAGTCTTGCATCAGTGTGGTTAGACAACCGATTGGCTCAAGCCGGGATCGAAACCCGGCTGATTTGGTCGGAGATTCTACCCTAAGCCATTGGCGCACGGCGGGGATAAATAATAATATATATATATATATATATATATATATATATATATATATATATATATATATATATATATATATATATATATATATATATATATATATATATATATATATATATATATATATATATATATATATATATATATATTTGGAGTGTTTGTTGAAATTATGAAAGACCTGGTTTGCTACATTATTCATGTAGAAATTAGATAAAGTAGGAAACATACGAATCCATTGCTGCGCCTTCAGTCTGTGTGTAAATGTAAACAACATTATGTTTACACAGGACAGATTTTTGAGTTGATGTCTTATTTGTAAGAATTAGATTCTAATACTGAGAAGTAATTAATAATCAAAATCGTTAGATTCAATATATATATATATATATATATATATATATATATATATATATATATATATATATATATATATATATATATATATATATATATATATATATATATATATATATATATATATATATATATATATATATATATTTGGTATTTGGACAATCCCTCTTTACACAAGTTTAATTAAACACAACTGACAAGGTACAGCGATTAAATTTTTTATTGTTCTCCTGGTCGTATAAGTGATTTCTATTCTTGAGATAAAGTGTGTAAAAACTGTTCAAAATGTTCTATATATCCGTGCGCTTTCGGCTATTCTATTAGCCGAATGTGTAGATTTATATATGTTTCTAAAGTGATGGGACTGTTTTGTCAAAACACATTGTAGCCGTGTCCATAATTAATGCTATTAAATGTTGTTTTTTTCTTTTTTATTATCAGTGCTTCCATTATTTTTTGTCTTTTTTTACATGTGGATGGGGCTATTATGCTATTATACACATCTCTGGTCATATTTCAATTAGGACTCATTTAAACACACAAGGAAACTATACCAAACTCCATCTGCAACATACTTCTAGAAATTACTATACGCATATAATACGAATTGGTTATACATTTGTTACTGTCATCTAGTGGTCATGAGTTTCAATCCTTGGATCTAGTAGTGAAACAACAATTCAACAAGAACAAGGACAAAACATCACAATAATTAACAGATATACCATGACAAAAAAAAAAACAATGGACACCTGATGATGACCAAATGGTACTTGATCGAAATGTTGTATTTATAATAACAACTCTGTAAAGAATAATAAGAATAATAGTTCGAAATAATACAAGAAGAATGAGTCTATCTTATACCGAGTGTAAAAGCAAAATTGTCCAATTGTTAGATTTTTGAATCGTTATATCTTAGAAATGATTAAAGATATCTTACTGGAATTCTCCGATGTTTTTATAACACTATTGGACTCTAGTTTGGAAAATAAGAATATATTTAGCTCTAAGTTGAAATGATGACCCCCTCTTGCTATTGTGACCTCCTGATCCACTTTATCTCTCTATTGTTCCCTCTTTTTAAAACTTATTCACCGTTCTCTTGATGGTTCTTGAATGGACTTTGAAGATGGAAGTCAAAGTATGAATGTTGGTACCATTACTGGAGGCCTGAATGATTCTTTTCATCCCACCATTACTCACTTGGGAAAAAAATAGTGGGGCTGACACAAAACGATTTTAACCTGTTCTCTTTCGAGCTGAATAACTCAAAGCGTTTTTCAGTGTTTCTTACAAAAATGCTCTCAAGATGGTGTCATCTGAAATGGGGTCTTATCTGAAAACCTGGAAAAATCCTTTAGTTTAGTGGGGGGGTGTTAGATATTAAACATTTTGTCGGATGGACAATTATCGGATGCTGTTACACGATTTGGACAATTTTGCTGTTACACTTCATCTTCTGTCCAAGCAACAATTCTCAGCTGTCACGGCTTTGCTTAACTGTTAATATTTTCCATTACAGGGTTTTTATGGTGATGTTTCTGGCGACGTGTTGTGGGGTGTGCAATTATTACAAACGGAAGAGAAACCGTGTTCCTCAGTCCATCCCCTGCTCGGTACCTGAACAAACGGTAGATAATTCCACACCTGCCCAGATGCCGCTGCAATACGGCGGTTTAGCTTCCATGATGCGAGCAGCCGGAACGCACCAGTCCCCCTTCGCATACATAGGACCTGCCACAATATCTACAACATCTTTACCACCGCCATCTTATACTGAAGTGAGTTGAAATTTTCTCCTTTCTTCTTTTTTCTTCTTTTTTCTTCTTTTTCCGTCCATTTTTTGTAAACCTCACATTAGTATTGTTAGTTTATGCTTTTTCTTAAACAGCTGAAAAATCGTCCCAAGGCTGTTACATTTTTTAAACGCTTGATGAACAGATTTTTACTCTGCAAATACTCTTCTTGTATGAAGTCTTATATAAAATGCAATTGTTTCATAAGCCCACCATATTGATTTCACTGAAATAATTCATTCGAGTTTCAATCAAACACATACACACACACACGCACACCTACACCCCCCACATATATATATATATATATATATATATATATATATATATATATATATATATATATATATATATAAGGAAGAAGTTATAGTTGTTCCAACGAGAATTATATATATATATATATATATATATTTATATTCCGTTTTCCATAATTCTGCAGAATTATGGAAAATAGAGTATAATATATATTTTAAAATAAAAAATTCACATTTCAACCTAAAAAGTTTGCGGTTTATCTTCTTTTTAGAATATATATATATATATATATATATATATATATATATATATGAACAAAGACAAAAGGAAAACTTATCCTAGTCGAGGCGTTTCGTCCTCTGCTGAATTTTCTCAAGGCAAATATAAGGTGAAATGATTTAAAATAAATATAAAGCAACTTTGAAAAGCGTTTGAAAACAGACAAGAACGACTTGCATACTTGCAGAGGATAACATAGAATTCATTTTCCCGTTTGCTGCATTTTAATGTGCGTGGAGCCAGGTATCGCGCAAGGTGAATACGTTAATGAAGAATGCAACAATTCTATTACTGGAGGCGGGCAGAGGATGTGTCTTGTGTTCGACCAAAACAATTTGGGACAAACATCTTTCCTCTTTTTTTTTGAATTCTCTTCATTCGATCTCTGGATCTAAAGCTAAAAGAAAAGAGAATTATATGTCATTTTTTTTATAACCTAACATTGGACAGTACTTCACTGACCTATTCCGAGTCATACCACATTCCTAATATAAGATTATCGTTGTAAAAACTAATAAAAACTCAAGACGACATCCCTCATCCGTAAAATTACTGTTTATTTACCGCCGGACTTCATCAATTACCATCGGTGTATGGGTGTGTGTGTCTTTGGGTGCTTTCTTCGAACTTGGATATCCACGCGAGATTGTGACAGACTCTCTGACTTTTTTTCCTCTCGGGTCGGACGTTTATCATCCGGTTGACCTCCGTTTGCACGTCGTAAGCGTAGCTAAGATGACCACCTGTTTACATGTTGGCGGCAGCCACTGATATCCTGTAAGAAGCGAATCTGCACCTGCTGGCTACGGGGTACCACCTACCGGGTTAACCCTTCGATGTGTATGGCTCCTCTGATGATTTAGTGCGATACCAAATACAAAGTCTAGTTTGGTATCTCTTAGGGTGAGCTCATTATATAGTGGGATTCACCACAGATCAACATCTCTTGTAAGAAAGGTTATTGATATTAAATTCGATTCGGGCTATCTGCTATTTCTGGGCGTGAATCGCCTCTTACACTAATAAGGAAATAAGTACTATTCCTGAATACCAAGCATGGTTTATTACACGACCCCATACCGTATCAGTTAGGTTAGTGTTATTCGCTCAAAGCTGTCGTAATCATTCAGCCTGTATCTGTTTTGTATGCAGTCTTTAATAAGATCAGAAAGATTTTTTAAAAATATAGTTTTTTTTTCTATCCATCCAGTGAGCTTTGGGTTCAGATGTAAAACTTTATAATAAATCATGTATTAATAGATTAATGTAATCGGATTTGACCTGAAGAAATAGTTTAGGGGTTTACAATGAAAACCTGATCTGATGTTCGATTTCGTTGTTCAACTGCAAAGTACTCGAATTAAACTTGAATGCTGAATAGAAAATGTCATTTAAAATCCAGTAATAAATTGTAAAATCTAGAATGTTTATTTTTAAACAAATGCATTAGAATGATCTTACAATTTATTGTTATTAGTGTTAATTCTACAAGGGATCGTGATCTTCAATCAATTCGATGTCTGTCCCATTTCTCCTCTCCAGTTCCATACGTCTTGATTAATCACCAACAATGGGAAAAATCCAGGATCTACTCAAAGCGAAAAACTTATAAATTACGGTAGCACATAAAGAACAATACTCAATGAAGCAGAATGAATCAACTGTCGAATTATAAGTCCTTCACTAACACGAAAACTGTTTATATTCACCTGAAGAATGTCGGAATGAACCAGTCGAAACAATGCAGGAAAAAAATTACAAGAATAGTATAGTCCAAAAATGAGGAAAATTTTGTACGATTGAGGAAAGAGTGGGTGAATGATTCGGTTTTTAACGGGTTATCAACCCTTTGTGGGTCATTTAAAGCCGAAACTTATTTGGGATTTTAAGAATAAATCTTTATTTTTTGCGAGTGAATATTGCATTAACAAGTCTCTGCCAATTTTTGTGAAATCCCAAGTCCTTCGTGTTACTACTCAATGCTCATGCATAGTCACTCCTCCTCCTCCTCCTAAGCGGAGTTATTATACAGGATGCGGTGGGTAAATTGTTGCAATTTTATATTTTTAATTTCACGCGTACGCATTGTTTGGTTTTGATTTTGTTGACTGCACAGTATAGTAGGGTCAGTTGGGCACCGTCTCTGTGTGAAAATGAGCACCATTCATTCCACCAGAAATTCGCAAATGACATGATATACTGCTTGGCATTCGCGCCGAAAACTCAAATACAAACGTTTCAGAGTGTTTGGTGTAGAGAATTCGGAAAGAGTTTGATGAGTAATGTTGATTACGAAGATACGGCAGCTTGGAAAACTAACTCTGATCGTTCTGTTAAGAAAAGAACTCCCGAATTTTTTGGTGAGGACCTTAGATTCAACACGGAGGCTTGCATCAAGGTGCCTTGAGGTGATAGAACTGCCCTGTGTCAGAAGTGGGGCTGCTGGAAGTCTGGCAACAGGGCTGTGCACCTTGCCACACAAGCAGGAGAACCCAGTCATGGCTGTCAGATAATTTCTATGACCACATCCCACACTGCAACACACTTGATTATTATGTGTGGGGCGTAGTTGAACAAAAGACCAACAAAACTCGTTGTAACACCAAAGATGAACTGAAAGCAGGAATTATGGCAGCATTCACCAACTTAACCAAGGAGACCGTCTAGAAGATTTACAGGGGATTCCGAAGTCGTCTGGTGACCGTGGTCGAAGCCAATGATGATTTTATTGAATAAATTCACTCTTTACTATTTCAAGATGTTTTTGTGTAATTTTGGTAAATATATCTGTTAAAATGAAATGACATTGTTATTTTAATTTTTGCGTAATTTAGACGACAATTTATCCATCGCACACTGTATTGCCTGGGTATTCCGAATATGTTAATTAGTTAATCTACATATCCATACAACAATATTTCAACCTCCGTGTTTCAATCATTGATTTCGCTATTGCACTCTGCCAGTGTACGATACCAGATTTCTATTATTCATTGTACTCTGCTAGTGTACGCTATCAGATGTGTATGATTCATTGTATTCTACCAGTGTACGCTATCAGATTTGTATGATTCATTGTACTCTGCCAGCGTACGCTATAAGATTTCTATGATTCAGTGTACTCTGCCAGTATACATCATAAGAGTTGCATGATTCATTGTATACTGCCAATGTTTCAATCTCAGTCACAATGACAACACATAGATAAATGGTCAATAACCCATAACTGGCAACTAAGTATGTTTCTAGTACAGCAAACAGAAACTAAACTTACTATCAATAGGTTTTAATATTCGATGCTTACCGGTGTTCACATTGGCCAGCGAAAATCTTGCAAGAAGATATTAACCTGATATATTAAGCTGGAACAAAACTTTGTAGTTTTTTTTTTTTTTTCAGTTGATGGCGTTTAAACACGTGACTTCATTTCGTATGTGACTGAAATTTATGATATAAACAAGCAGAGAACATGTCGTTGATACACACGGCGGCGGCGTCACAATGCCGCTGAATACTAAACATCATTTGTAGCGTAATATTCATTAATTAGACATTAATCACTAACTCTCCTGGCAACATTTTAGATTGCAGAATGATGCTATCAATTTCAGTCAATATCAAACAATCAAGGCCTAAAGAGATTCTCAAGTGTATTGTTCAGTGTGGAGATGAATGTGTGTTTCCAAGCCTTTGTATTGCTGTTCAAATTATACTAACAATTGCAATCTTCATAACAAGCTGCGAGAGATTTCTCATTATGGTAAAGCTAATTTTATTCTGTTTAAAAGCATCCATGGGCTAAGGTAGATGGTGTGACCTATCATTGCTGAATGTGGGGAGAGAGGGGACGGAAAATGTTGAATTTGAAGACATAATTGACAAATTTGTAACAGTCAAAGCGAGGAGGTTGCAGTTCTACTCCTAAACGGAGCCTGCCTTTATTCCTTAGTTTCACTTGTCTTCGCGCAGTACGAGTTACAATAACTTATTGCGAAAATATATCTTTATATGGTGCCCTCAAACTTTAATAATTCCGCGTTAAAAAAAAAAAAAGAATTAAAGGTTAATATTGGTCTATTCGAGTCTGTCGTGCCGATCCACACCAGCACGGCCTAACTGTGGTTCTAGTACAACTACCGATGGACCCAATTTTACTCGCAAGGCTTAGGTGAACCTATGGTACTGTTTTCGGGCATTTCTGAAGTAGCCAGCGGCGGGATTGCTTCCCAAGGCCGATATCATGAGAAAATAATTTTTCTCACGAATCGATTAATGGAAATCGTCTCATCCTTACTCCTATGGTATCCTTCTGGAAGTGTCTTTTCCCGACAATTAACTTTTCCCAGACATCATAGATTGGACATTGGGGATCTGGAGACTGCAACATAGGACTGAACAGTGTGAAAGGGCATTGTTAATAGAGTTCCGATCAACCAGAGGGAGGTTGAAGGATGATGATGAATGGTGAGATCTGAACCCAGGTTTCGTCGTCGGAAAAAAAAAAAACGTTCTAACCACTCGGCCACGTGCGACATATATTATGATTGATATAGAAAAGTTAAAAATGATTTTGCAATGTCATAATGAGTTAAAATATTGTCTTCTTGTGATGCATTTATATATTTTATTTTCTCCGTTTAAGGACAATTAAAATGTGTTTTCCTTTAGTCTGATGTGATGTACTTTAATAGATTTGGTTTTTACAGTAATTCTGTTGCCAAAACTAAAACTGCCAAATAGTATGTTCCTGTGGTATCATTATAGTGTCGAAATTTAAATTCCCTTCAAATAAAATATAACAGAAAGAACTAATCATCAACTTGCAAGAAGACAGAAAGTATGGTCATCAACAAGAGAGAAACAAAACTAAATGCGAGTTACGAATTGGAGATATAAATATCAAACAGTTGCAGAAGTTCAAATGTCAGGTTGTCTAGTAAGTCCTGTCTTACTTAAGAAGCAGAAAGAAAACAACAAAATTTTATGGAGCAACATCAACATTTATTCTTCAAAATAAAGTCCATCATTGTCGACTATGATCTGTGTTGAAGCTTGGATAAGCATGGAATAATAATAATGCAACACAAAATGTACGTAAACAAAATGTATTGAAACAAGGAAAAGGTACACAATATTTACAGTTAGTTTTGGTATATTCTTGGGAAGACTGTTCCTGTAGAATGGGTTGACTTAATCGCAGTCGGGCAGAGTCTCTCGATTGGAACCTTCTTACTTCTTCCCTCGTCTTCCCGGTACCAACCCATATTTATATGGTCGGTACTCCACTATGTAAATTAGGTGGATCGTACCACAACAATCTGACAGCGATTAGCCAGCATCCGAATCTGTCTCAGCAATCTGATAGCTTTGAATCAAAAATTGTAAACAGGCTTCCTTCACTTCATCAAAAGTACTGAATCGCTGGTCGCGAAGAATTTGTGCCATTAAGGGGAATAGGCCATAGTCACTCGAAGAAGCATCAGGACTGGATGGTGGATGTGGAAGAATCTCAACAGCGTCTATCTGTTTGAACTAGCAGTGTGCGGCATTGCATTGCCTTGCTAAAAAAACTGACCTCAATAGACCAAAGCAGGATATTCCTTTAGTTTATCGTATACGCGATCTAGCTGCTGGCAATACAGTTTAGCGTTGATGGCGCGACCGAGTGGGACAAGTTCGAAATGCAGTACTCCTTAGAAATTCCACTAGACAAAGATCAATATTTGTTGTTTCCTTTCCGCTTCCCAAGTGACTCAGGAATTTCAGGCCTCGTTGTTGCTTGTTAGCTTTCATCAGGATGTGGTGTACCCATTTACTGAACCTCTACGCCTTCTCTATGCATTTCAGGTGAAGTTTGACTGTTTCCACAGAAATCTGGGAGCATTCAGCAAGCTCACCATAGGTTTAGCTCTTGTCCTCCACTATGGCCACCTTCAGGGTCTCATCATCCAGAACCTGTGACCGGCAACTGCGGACTTTCCTCACAAATGGACAGATCTCCCGACCTGAACTTCTGGAACCAATGCCTGTCGGCGCGTTCACTCACAGGATTACCTCTAATGGTTTCACGTATCTGACCATGTGATGCGGTTGCGGACGAGTCCAACCCTTAGAATCATAAAAAGCAAATACATCCGAACGAACTGCTTCGACACCGCCAATTTGCTCGAGCTATGATTGATGTGTCTGTTTAACGCACATGCAGTGGTCAAGAGCAATGCATCCAATCCCACCCCACCGCTTTCCCAGTACGTGACGGACTGATTTACAAATCAGTGATAACTTCTTCTTCAAGGACTTTTTCGGCTAACTTATCGTAAAGCTGATTTCCATGCAGCAACTCACCAGTTAAATCATAACAATAAATCTGTTTTGGGCTCGTTGTCCAATGATTGATGATGAAATTCTTTTATGTGCGCTACCCTTGCACGACGTTGGCGATCATTACTCTCCACAGCTTCCTATCCATTGTAGCACTAACTCATGTTTGTCTCCTTACTATCACACAGTCCCTATTGTGTCATCCATTTTATATTATTCAGTCGAACTAGCACGAACATTCATGAGCCTATCATGGAAGGTCATTAGAGTGGCATTCTGTGTCATAACAAAGCTGGTCAATGTCGGAGGTTGCAGGGTGAGCAACCTGTCTTGCTCCATGGTTTGGTGTTCAAAGCAGTAGAACACACTCGAATTCTTGTTTTGCTCGCCAGCAGTGTCCTGCAAAGATCATTCTGAGTTCACGTAAGATTGTAAAAATATCAGGGATGGGTATATAGAGCTGTGACGTTAGTTGGATGTTCTCTCCAAGAGATGCTAAACATAGCTCTCAGCATCCAAATTATAGTTTCCATCAAGCTTAGACTCTAGACTTAAAACCTCCTAGGTTTTCACATGTTCCGTCCATGGTATTCTCAGCATCTTTCTATAGAAGCACGCTTCTGTTCATCTCCTCTTCATCAGAGACACAATTGCCCAAGATTTACTGTCATATAGGAGGATTGATATCTATCTGTATATATATATATATATATATATATATATATATATATATATATATATATAAAAGTTGTAGCCTCTGTCCTCTATCGAACTCCTCTTAGGGTTTTCAAGATAGACCCCCATAACAATATATATTCTACATTAAACTAAATTACGCAAGGTACTTAGATAAGTATATTTCATTTTGATCAAAGGGGGTCCCAGAGTAACACAACTGATTTTCCCTTTGATTTAAGTTAAATTTAAATTTGAACAAAGGGAATATAAAATATAGAAGGAGAAAGCCAGAAGATGGATTCCACATTGGCACAATCAAAATGAGACAATATGAACATGAAGTTGAGCAATAAATCATCAATCAGTGGGTAGTGCCTTACAATACATATTTGTTGCTACAATTCAACTGTTATATCAATGTTGAAATCTGTTCATCAGTTCGTTCAATCAAGTATTGCATCAAATACATGTCAAACCACCCACTGAAAATTTTTTTCCCTTTGATTTAAATTAAGTTTAAATTTGAACAAGAGAATGACTGCTATCCAAAATATAGAAGGAGAAAACCAGAAAATAAAGGTCATATTGGCAAGATCATTGAGTAATATTGAAATGCATCATTTTTCTCCACAAATTATAACAATGATTTAAAATCAATCATCATTTTCCTACAAAAAATGTGTGACACACAGATATATATATATATATATATATATATATATATATATATATATATATATATTAGATGGTGAAAAACGGAGAATCAAAAAACGTTTTTGTTCAAATTGACTATTATCTTTACCTTTTCGCGTTACACTTCTATTTTTATAAACATGCTGACTTGACTTTAAATATCTGACGTCGTTTTCCAAATTTTGAAACGTCTTAAGACTGTTTCTAAATTTCGGGATTTAAACAGTTTAATTTAAGAACTATAAATGTTGTCGAAAGGCTTTTTCAAATTTTCTTTTTTTCATTACGGGATCATTGCAAAAAGAAAGATGTGTACTTTTTTTGAATAACATTATCACGTTAATTTTATTGTTTTATTCGACAAGTATGGACCTTCGTGTCCCCAAAAAAATGCAGTGCCAAAAGAACTTTTTTTTTTCATGACGCCATTTTTATTTTAACTACAATGTTTATTGTTTTAAAAAGCGATGATTAGAATTATAATAAAACATAAACATATGAAAATAAATTTATATATTTTTTGTTCTTGAAAATTTACAACAAAAGTATTAAACACTATTAAATTGTTTATTTACAAGAATAATTTTATATTTACAACATTCTGAAAACTAATACAATTAAAACAAATGCAATGTAATATTCATCATTTACCAATTTATAAAGGAAGAAATATGAAAACAATTTTTTTTCGTAAATTTATAAAGATTTACTAAATTATTAAAATATGCGAACCAACTATAAGGAAATCCTTATTATTTACCATTTTATAAAGTTTGAATCAACTGGCAACTTGTCAACTATTCCAGTAAACGATCTAATAAAAACAATCTAATAAGTAAATAGAGATTAATATTTTTGTTGTAAATTCTCAAGAACAGAATATGTATAAATTAATTTTCATATGTTTTTTGTTTTATTACAATTTTAATCATCGCTTTTTAAAACAAAAAAACATTAAAGGGGAGTAAAATTAGTGAAAATAAAAGCGGTGTCAGGGGAAAACCGTACTTTTCTCTCTCCGTATTTTTTCCCAGGTACGAAGGTCCATGTGTGCCAATTATTCATTAAAAAAAAGCAAAATAAATGATTTGTATAAGGTACATTTTAAGAGATTCATATTTTCAGCCAATGAAATTGATGTTTTTTGACATTCATATTTTGTCGACATCTTTTTTTTTTCCAGGTAGTATCTAAGCCTGAACTTTATCCTATCAATAAAGGTGATTCGGCGTCTTTGCCAACGTCACCAATCACACCGGAAGAAAGTGTTATTCGGAGTTATTCTTCACATCGTGCCAGTAAGTAGTCTTAATATACTACAACCATATACAAGCATACACAATATAACTTTATTTATGAATTCAAAGAAGAATCTGCAATGTTATCGGTCATCTCGGCTTCAGTCATTTTCCTATCGCAGTTATGTAGCTTTACTATGTTTTTATATAAATATTCTCATGCTAATTCTTCTGATGAGCTATCCTCTTTGAAACTTAGGCTTTACGAATTTAAGCGCAGTACTAGATTGGCAGCTAGGTCTCATCGTTTTATAATTGGAATTGCTAGATATGACTATATGTTCTACGCTAACAGTTTCTTCTTGGGCACTTCTTGCATATGGGACACTCTTCTTGCTTTCCAATTAACTTTGATCTTAAAAAATTTAAATGCAATGTCAATAGTTATCTTCTGTCTTAATTTTCCTTCTTTTATTGTTCTTTCCCCTTAATAATCATTTTCTTTTTATCATATTATTTCACAAACGCAGTAACCCTTTGCATCTTAGTGCCTTTATTGAATTCTTTGGAGTGAAATAATTAAAAACAAATGCGTTTGTTTTTTACACGTACAATAGGTATAATGCAAGGAATAATATGTAGTTTTTCTATCCGCCATTCTTCTAAAACAAGCTGAGCATGCTGCGACGATATACGAACGTCTGTTCCTTTTGTAATTAAGAATAACATTCTATGCTAGTCAATAACAATAACAAAATGCAATGAGAAAAAAAAAAGCCCACGCTTGCCAAAAAGAGTTTTTAGTTATCAGAATTTATTTTACTTTGCTATTTCGACGGGTAGAACATTACTGTAGAGTAATTGGCCATGGTTAAATGTAATTGGCAGAAATGCCCAATAAAAAGAATTGACAAATTCACAAAGGTTGTAATAAACAATAACAAAAGAAAGAAAGAAAAGAACAGGACAAAAATTAATACGAAACGAGTAGGCAGAGAAACAGTAATGAGGCAAAAATTTCACAAAGTAAGAATGGTATTAAAAGGGTAAGTGATTGCAGCTTTCTGATTTCCAGACAAGAAAGAACAGAAATATGGTAGATGTGACTGAGAAGTAGTCTATCTTATTGGCTGGGAATAAATCCCAGCATGCATCAGAACAATTTCTCTATAAATTTGGGGAGGGAGTGTTTTGCTTTCATTCCCGATTCCAACATAATCAAACTCTGAAGACGGCAACAAACTAGAGAAAAGGAAATTTTTTTTTAGCAGGGAATATTTATCTTGAATAAAATACTTAACAATTCAGGAAAATGATAATTTCTGTAAACGTGAATAGACAGATGGCAATGTTTAACCTTCTTGACTGCAAAAATAACGGTGTGTCAAATGAACGGTTATTCCTTTGACACCGCTATTTCTGTATACACTTTTCACTCCATCGGCAATGTTCATTTAGAAGATTATAAAATATGTGAATCAAGTAGAATGTGATATTTATTATTCACCTTTTATAATGATTTATTATTTACTATTTTAAAAAGAAATAAGTTTGCAAAACAATTTATTCAGAAATTTATTTTAAAAAATACAAAATTATGAAAACATGTAAACCAACTACAATGCAATATTTATGATTTATCATTTTATAAATAACTATAAAAACAAGTTTTTTTATTCATAATTTTATAAAAAAAATATTAATGGACTGTAGAACAAGAAAATTTGAATAAACATGATTTTCAGAACATAATATATTTTCCTCTCAGAATATGTTTTAATTTTCCAATTTTTATAAATTCATGAAAAAAATCATTTTCATATTTATTTCTTTATAAAATGGAAAATAAATATTCCTTTGTAGTTAGTTCATATCTACTCAACTATATTACTGAGAAAGTCATCACCGGATGCTCTTATAAAGTACGAAAGACTAGAACAGATATCTTTCTCAAATACATCCTCTTGGAAGGGCAGAAGAATTCAAACACTATGAAACGTATACAAATGACAAGGAGACATCGGTCGGCAAAACGTTACGTTGGGGAAACATCTTATTCAACTCCAGAGTCGAAAGCTTAAGACAAAACATTTTATACAAAGACATCTTATCCAACTCCAGAGTCGAAAGCTTAAGACAAAACATCTTATACAAAGACATCTTATCCAACTCCAGAGTCGAAAGCTTAAGACAAAGCATTTTATACAAAGACATCTTATTCAACTCCAGAGTCGAAAGCTTAAGACAAAACATTTTATACAAAGACATCTTATTCAACTCCAGAGTCGAAAGCTTAAGACAAAACATTTTATACAAAGACATCTTATCCAACTCCAGAGTCGAAAGCTTAAGACAAAACATTTTATACAAAGACATCTTATCCAACTCCAGAGTCGAAAGCTTAAGACAAAACATCTTATACAAAGACATCTTATCCAACTCCAGAGTCGAAAGCTTAAGACAAAGCATTTTATACAAAGACATCTTATTCAACTCCAGAGTCGAAAGCTTAAGACAAAACATTTTATACAAAGACATCTTATTCAACTCCAGAGTCGAAAGCTTAAGACAAAACATTTTATACAAAGACATCTTATCCAACTCCAGAGTCGAAAGCTTAAGACAAAACATTTTATACAAAGACATCTTATCCAACTCCAGAGTCGAAAGCTTAAGACAAAACATCTTATACAAAGACATCTTATCCAACTCCAGAGTCGAAAGCTTAAGACAAAGCATTTTATACAAAGACATCTTATTCAACTCCAGAGTCGAAAGCTTAAGACAAAACATTTTATACAAAGACATCTTATTCAACTCCAGAGTCGAAAGCTTAAGACAAAACATTTTATACAAAGACATCTTATCCAACTCCAGAGTCGAAAGCTTAAGACAAAACATTTTATACAAAGACATCTTATTCAACTCCAGAGTCGAAAGCTTAAGACAAAACATTTTATACAAAGACATCTTATCCAACTCCAGAGTCGAAAGCTTAAGACAAAGCATTTTATACAAAGACATCTTATCCAACTCCAGAGTCGAAAGCTTAAGACAAAACATTTTATACAAAGACATCTTATCCAACTCCAGAGTCGAAAAGCTTAAGACAAAGCATTTTATACAAAGACATCTTATCCAACTCCAGAGTCGAAAGCTTAAGACAAAACATTTTATACAAAGACATCTTATCCAACTCCAGAGTCGAAAGCTTAAGACAAAGCATTTTATACAAAGACATCTTATCCATCTCCAGAGTCGAAAGCTTAAGACAAAACATTTTATACAAAGACATCTTATCCAACTCCAGAGTCGAAAGCTTAAGACAAAGCATTTTATACAAAAACAACAAACAAAAAAAATATTCATGTAAATATGCAATCAAATAAATAAATAGTGTTTAATAACTTTGTGGTCAATTCGCACGAATGAAGAAAATGTATAAATCCGTTTTCATATTTTGGGTCTTTATTAAACTTACAATTGTAGCTATTTAAAACAATAAGTATTACCGAAGGAGTGAAAAGTATGAAGAAGTAAGAGCGGTGTCAAAGAAATAACTGTCCATTTGACACAACGATTTTTTAACGAAGGTGAAACATTGCCAAAGCATTTAATGATTTTTTTTTCTGTAAGAAAACATGCAAATTGCGTTTACTTGAATGACTTCAGTTATGTTCTTAAATTGCAAAAATACAATCTAGAATTATTCTACGTGGAACCATGGTATCATAGTGTTTCATAAACTCATTTTTTAAAGCTGTTATGTACACATATATACACTCTTATACAGAGTTGTATATCTATAACGCACATAAATTTCTTCAATGATTATTTAATGATGAAAATGAGTAAGTAAAAAATAATAAAATACTTTGCCTTGACCTTTTTTACATTTATACAATAAAATAAATTGTTAAATAAATTCATAATGCTTTTCATGATATGGAATTACCTGCATATAAAGTATTGAAAGTTAATAACTTTGTCAAGCATATAATAATAAAAGAAATTTCACATTTTTTTTATGAATACATATGCACAAATCAGTCTTTATAGTTTTTTTCAAGCCTTCTTTCTTGTCCTTATGAAGATACGACACGGCCACGCTCTTGTCCTGTGTAAGAATACTCATTCAAGAATTTTTCTTACAATGATGTTCACCCTGGCGGTAATGCTTGACCCTAAACTTGAAAAGGTTAAGATTGTCACTCTGTACAAAGCCCATGAGCCACTCGAGGTAGGGTGTTACAGAGTAAGAGGCAAAGTTTATGGGGATATGTAGGGGCAGTAACGGTTGACCCTAAACTTGAAAAGATTAAGATTGTCACTCTGTACAAAGCCCATGAGCCACTCGAGGTAGGGTGTAACAGAGTAAGAGGCAAAGTTTATGGGGGATATGTAGGGGCGGTAACGGTTGACCCTAAACTTGAACAGGTTAAGATTGTCACTCTGTACAAAGCCCATGAGCCACTCGAGGTAGGGGTGTAACAGTGTAAGAGGCAGAGTGTATGGGGGATATGTAGGGGGTAACGGTTGGCCCTAAACTTGAACAGGTTAAGATTGTCACTCTGTACAAAGACCAAGAATCACTCGAGGTAGGGGGTGTAACAGAGTAAGAGGCAAAGTTTATGGGGATATGTAGGGGCGGTAACGGTTGGCCCTAAACTTGAACAGGTTAAGATCGTCACTCTGTACAAAGCCATGAGCCACTCGAGGTAGGGTGTAACAGTGTAAGAGGCAGAGTGTATGGGGATATGTAGGGGCGGTAACGGTTGGCCCTAAACTTGAACAGGTTAAGATTGTCCTCTGTACAAAGACCAAGAATCACTCGAGGTAGGGTGTAACAGAGTAAGAGGCAGAGTGTATGGGGATATGTAAAGGGCGGTAACGGTTGGCCCTAAACTTGAACAGGTTAAGATTGTCACTCTGTACAAAGCCCATGAGCCACTCGAGGTAGGTGTAACAGTGTAAGAGAAAGAGTGTATGGGGATATGTAGGGGCGTTAACGGTTGGCCCTAAACTTGAACAGGTTAAGATTGTCACTCTGTACAAAGACCAAGAGCCACTCGAGGTAGGTTGTAACAGAGTAAGAGGCAGAGTGTATGGGGATATGTAGGGGCGGTAACGGTTGGCCCTAAACTTGAACAGGTTAAGATTGTCACTCTGTACAAAGCCCATGAGCCACTCGAGGTAGGGTGTAACAGTGTAAGAGGCAGAGTGTATGGGGATATGTAGGGGCGGTAACGGTTGGCCCTAAACTTGAACAGGTTAAGATTGTCACCTGTACAAAGCCCATGAGCCACTCAGGTGGGGTGTAACAGTGTAAGAGGCAGAGTATGGGGATATGTAGGGGCGGTAACGGTTGGCCCTAAACTTGAACAGGTTAAGATTGTCACTCTGTACAAAGCCCATGAGCCACTCGAGGTAGGGTGTAACAGTGTAAGAGGCAGAGTGTATGGGGATATGTAGGGGCGGTAACGGTTGGCCCTAAACTTGAACAGGTTAAGATTGTCACTCTGTACAAAGCCCATGAGCCACTCGAGGTAGGGTGTAACAGTGTAAGAGGCAGAGTGTATGGGGATATGTAGGGGCGGTAACGGTTGGCCCTAAACTTGAACAGGTTAAGATTGTCACTCTGTACAAAGACCAAGAATCACTCGAGGTAGGGTGTAACAGAGTAAGAGGCAGAGTGTATGGGGATATGTAGGGGCGGTAACGGTTGGCCCTAAACTTGAACAGGTTAAGATTGTCACTCTGTACAAAGCCCATGAGCCACTCGAGGTAGGGTGTAACAGTGTAAGAGGCAGAGTGTATGGGGATATGTAGGGGCGGTAACGGTTGGCCCTAAACTTGAACAGGTTAAGATTGTCCTCTGTACAAAGACCAAGAATCACTGAGGTAGGGTGTAACAGAGTAAGAGGCAGAGTGTATGGGGATATGTAGGGGCGGTAACGGTTGGCCCTAAACTTGAACAGGTTAAGATTGTCACTCTGTACAAAGCCCATGAGCCACTCGAGGTAGGGTGTAACAGTGTAAGAGAAAGAGTGTATGGGGATATGTAGGGGCGTTAACGGTTGGCCCTAAACTTGAACAGGTTAAGATTGTCACTCTGTACAAAGACCAAGAGCCACTCGAGGTAGGTTGTAACAGAGTAAGGGCAGAGTGTATGGGGATATGTAGGGCGGTAACGGTTGGCCCTAAACTTGAACAGGTTAAGATTGTCACTCTGTACAAAGCCCATGAGCCACTCGAGGTAGGGTGTAACAGTGTAAGAGGCAGAGTGTATGGGGATATGTAGGGGCGGTAACGGTTGGCCCTAAACTTGAACAGGTTAAGATTGTCACTCTGTACAAAGACCAAGAGCCACTCGAGGTAGAGTGTTACAGAGTAAGAGGCAGAGTGTATGGGGATATGTAGGGTCGGTAACGGTTGGCCCTAAACTTGAACAGGTTAAGATTTCACTCTGTACAAAGCCCATGAGCCACTCGAGGTAGGGTGTAACAGTGTAAGAGGCAGAGTGTATGGGGATATGTAGGGGCGGTAACGGTTGGCCCTAAACTTGAACAGGTTAAGATTGTCACTCTGTACAAAGCCCAAGAGCCACTCGAGGTAGAGTGTTACAGAGTAAGAGGCAAAGTTTATGGGGATATGTAGGGGCGGTAACGGTTGGCCCTAAACTTGAACTGGTTAAGATTGTCACTCTGTACAAAGCCCATGTGCCACTCGAGGTAGGGTGTAACAGAGTAAGAGGCAAAGTTTATGGGGATATGTAGGGGCGGTAACGGTTGGCCCTAAACTTGAACAGGTTAAGATTGTCACTCTGTACAAAGCCCATGAGCCACTCGAGGTAGGGTGTAACAGAGTAAGAGGCAGAGTTTATGGGGATATGTAGGGGCGGTAACGGTTGACCCTAAACTTTAACACGTTAAGATTGTCATGATCGGGGAAATATCCTATTGGGAATATACTCATAATGAGAAAAGTTAAAACTCTTAAAAATTTTTTTAAAATAATTTCAATTTTAAAATGTTTAATAAAGAGTATGGAAGAATATAAAAATCTATGTATAAGAAGAATGGTAGACCAATGAATTTCAAAGAATCTGTGTAAGACGTATCGTACATACAGTCACATACACAACCACACAAGATATCGTGATGACGTTATAATGGACAATATTTGTTATAGTTTTCAAAATATAGCATTGAAAACTTCCACATTGCTTAATTCCCTTTAGGCAGATTGTAATGAATAAATTGTCGCCATTTTATATTTTTAATTTCGTGCATGCGCATTATTTGTTTTGACTTTGATGATTGCACAGTCTAGTAGGGTTAGTTGGGCACCGTCTGTGAGAAAAAAGAGCACAATGACGCAATTCACAACGCCAGAAATTTGGAAACGGCATGTTGTACTGCTTGGCATTTACGTCAGAAGCTCCAATACGAACATTTCAGAGTGTTTAGGTGTCAATCTGAGGACAGTGAGGAGGATTCGGAAATAGTTGGATGTGTCTAATGGTGAGTCTAATGGTGATTACGAAGATATGGCAGCTTGGAAAACTAACTCTGATCGTTCCAAAAAAAATCTCCCAAATTTGTTGGTGAGGACCACAGACTCAATGCGGAGGCCTTCATGAAGTGCCTTGAAGTGGTAGTGTTGCCCTGGGTTAAGAGAGCGGCTACTGGAAGACCCTATGTCTGGCAACAGGACTCTGCACCATGCCACACAAGCAGGAGAACCCAGTCATGGCTGTCGGGACAATTTCTGCGTCCACATCACTCCTTACATCACCCTACACCGCAACCCACTTGATTATTATGTGGGTGGGGGGGCAGTTGAACGAGATACCAAAAAAAAAACGCCTTGTAACACTAAAGATGAACAGAAGGCAAGGGTTATGGCATCATTCGCCATGATTTATACGACAATTTATCCATCGCACACTGTATTGCATGGGTATTCCGAATATGTTAATTAGTTAATATCAATACACCAATATTTCAACCTCCGTGTTTCAGTCATTGATTCCGCCAGTGTACGATACCAGATTTGCATCTTGCATTTTACTCTTTAGCATTTCAAGATATTTTGGTCTAATTTTGATAAATATATCTGTTAAAATGATATGTCAGTGTTACTTTCGGTTTTGAGTAATTTGGACGACAATTTATCCATCGCATCCTGTATATTATATACTTCACTTTACTCCCAAGATGTGAGTACAAATGCCGAGGTGTTTACTACTTTCAGGCAGAAAATGAGTAAACAATTTAATTATTAGTAAATTTTAATAGTTAAATAAACGAGTGGAAATGAATTGCAAAACACTATTTTAAAAAAAAATGATTTGTATAGCATAATATGCAACTTATTTATCTTCATGATGTGAGAACTGCTATGCTGGGCAAGATATAAAATATATGCTATACGGGTTATAAGACACGTGCTGCTTAGATATAAATAATAAAGTTGCATAAACTTGTTAGCGCGCTTTTCAAGGTTTCAGGATGGCACACAAATTTTGACATTTATATATATATATATATATATATATATATATATATATATAGTCATCCACAGACTGTTTCGCTGTATCACAGCTCCACGGTGTGGCTAGACATCTGATTATTTCAAGCCGATCTCGAAACCCGACTGGTGATACTTGAAGATTAGTGCTTAATACCAGTAGGAGCCGCTGTTTTTTTAAAAAAAAACCTTTCCCTAGAGAGCTCAACCGGATTTCCGGGTGCATATATAGTCATCCACAGACAGACTGTTTTACTGTATCAAATCTCCTCAGGGTAACTAGACGTACGCTTGCTTTGATCGAAACCCGATTGATTTGACATCAGTCAGATATCATACCCCTAGGCCATCGTCAGAAATGAAGGGAATTTTAACGTCTTTCCCTACACGAAATACACCAATCGACTCATTTAAATTGATTTTATATATATATATATATATATATATATATATATATATATATATATATATATATATATATATATATATATATATATATATATAATCAATTCACCCCCTGGGAGGGAAAAAGAATGAGACAACTTCAGAATGAACCGAAAACCCAATCCTAAACAAAGGACAAACCTCTACTCCAGTTCAAAAAAGGGCAAGGAGTGTGAACCGGTCGATAGCTAAACCTATCTATTCTTATTAATTTTAATGCTAATCATTAAATTCGTACAAGTTTACTTAACCATCTTTAATAAGCTTTTTAAATATTACTTAGATAATTCAAATGAAATGTATATTTTAATTTATGATTATTTTGTTTCTTTTTCAGATAACAATACTTACGTAACTCTAAACGTCGTGAACTTAGTGCGATCTGGTTCGAGTCGAGGACGACAAGGAGATCAAGGTGTTGCTCCGCCATCTTATTACGAAGCTATTCAAAGTCCTAGTTCGCCATGTTCCCCTTCTTCTCAACAAGAGTTACTATCAAGTACAGATAAATAGACAGTGAACGCTGATGTCCAATATAATTCTCAAAAGTTGTATTTTTTTTTTTTTATTAACTGTGGGTTTTTCATTTTCTCCCTCCATAAGCAATCTTATACAGATTTTTTTAAAAAAAGTGTATATCCCACAAATCAAGATTGAGAAAAAAATGGACGAACTCTCTGTCGTTTTATATGTACCAATCCCTGGATGGCATGGCATCTAGCAATTCACTTACTACATGAAATGTTTTTGTCATTTTGCTTTTCCTTGCGAGAAAAACAAATTGACACTTTAAACGCGTGAAGAAAAACTTAGTGAGAGAAAACGATGTCTGAATCTTTTAAAAAGAAAAAAAATTGAAACAAAAAAGAAAAACAATTAAAAAGTAATTATCTCTCACTTTATAAATACTTCAGTCAGTGGATTGCTGGTTGTAGTCATCGTGGGGGTCCTCCTAGTGCGTTGATGGGTTTAAAAATCAAACAAGTATAAACAGATCTTATATGGATTTCTTTTTTCAGATTCCAACTTTTTCTTAGCTTCAAATCTCACTTGATAGGATAATGAATCGATGAAACTTAATATCACGTCCTCGTAGACTGATTTTTACTTAAAGAAAATTTCTGCCCACACATAGGCACTACTCCGTTACAACGACAGACACATAAAAGTTGGAATTATCTATTGACAAAGATGGCTTCTTAATTGTACGAAACAGTACCAAGTTACCATTGGAAACGTCAAAGCCTTATTGTTTCCTTACACTTGAATGATCCAGTATCAACTGATAATAGATTGTCATAAAAGTATATCATTGGCACGATTTTATAAAATGCATTGTTTGCTGTTTGTATAAGTCCTTGTAATCCAAGATTATAAGTGACGTTGATATTAATTTTGAAAGGATGATAATTATTGGTATAGTTGAATCAGATGAACGCTGCCCAAGACGATAATTATAAATGCTAACAAGAATAATATTGCCTAAAAATAAAGGAACACAAAAATGATGAATGCATATACAACCGTAAAAGTATGAATATTCCGAGAATAACACAGCCTAATGTCTGAGGAATACTCAGAATTCACAGACACTTTCACAAAAATACATTCCAACTAATCTTTACATTCCAAAATACACAGTCAGAGAAAATACGACAATATTACAAGGTTTCTTTGAACCAGAACAGTTGTAAATATATTTTCGAATATAGCACAATCACACGCACACACATACACACACACATATATATATATAAGTGTCTGTTATATTTAAAAATTATATATATTATATACACACAAACATACATATATGTGTGTGAGTGTATAATATATTTAGATATAATTATATATAAATATACCACATGATATATAGATACGTGTGTATATATAATATATATATAAATATATATACAAATATAGCAACCACACATACAAATATATATATATATATATATGTGTGTGTGTGTGTGTGTTTTTGTGTGTATGTCTGATATATATATATATATATATATATATACAAACACACATATGTATTAGTGCGTGTATATATAATACATATATATATATAAATAGATATACATATAAATATACAGAAATATATATATATATATATATATATATATGAGTGTGTGTGTGTGCTCTATTTATATATATATATATATATATATATATATATATTAAAAACACATAAACACACATATATGTGCGTGTATAATATATATATATAAAATAAATAAATATATATAAATATGCAACATTATATATGTATGTATGTATGTATATATATATATATATATATATATATATATATATATATAGCACACACAAAAATATATGTGTGTGCGTGCGCACGCGTGTGTGTGATCAGATATGGTTTTAAAGTGCGCTATGATTATAGAGTAGAAGTCCTCAATATCGGGGATATAGCGTGTGTAAATATATGAAGTGTTAACGATGACGTCAACACTGGGTACTGACAGTTTGTTTTAATGTATAAAACAGACTATCAACACTCGGTGTTGCCATCAATGTCCACGTTTCTTTCCCAATTAAATTAATGAAAAGTAAGAACCAATAAAAATCGTCCAGAATTACCTAACAATAGAAAAGGTATCCCATATTCCAGCAAGATAATGCTAGTTGAACATTAAATGTTATGGCTTCAGTTAGAAACCTATATTCATCTGCCATCCTCTCTACATATTGCATTGGATAATCATTTAATCTATACTTAATAGTTAATTTATAAAAGAAAAATCTTTCACTTGAATTGAAATTGAACTTGAAAGACACGCAAAACAACATTTAGAAACATAGAACATTCTGTGAGAGTAAACTGGATACGCTTATCTCCCTTTCTAAGGAACTGCTTAAAAAACGTAAGTTCTTATATATATATATATATATATATATATATATATATATATATATATATTGAGGAAATAGTATGACAAAGTGGGAAAAAAGCTTACTTGTGACGCGTTTCGTCCTTCAGGACTTCATCGGACGAAATGCATCACAAAACTGATCTTGATATATAAAAATATATAGTGTTATTTTCATATATATATATATATATATATATATATATATGTTATGGAGTGATTTCACAGTGGAGGTTTGTATTTGTACTAAGTCGATCCTAAAATAGGTTCGACGTATAAAATGTTAGATTGATATAATAGGTATAATCTAGTTGTGGTCTCTGATACTTTAGTATCCGACTAACGGTCGTCCGGCATCGACTGACTGGCCGAACCACTGAGCGCCTCCCTCGTTACTCTTACTACTCCTACTTATTATAGGTGGGAGAGTCTATTAACTATAGAATAGGTGTGTCCCACTATAACAATATATATATATATGTGTGTGTGTGTGTGTGTGTGTGTGTGTGTGTATTAAAACTAGGTATATGCAAAAGATTACAGCTTCCTTTTATTTTTAAAGAAATACAGGCAGAATACACAATAAAAAATTTGAGGGGTGTAGTTGTTGTGTTTTATTGATTTTTCTTTTGTTTTTCAATTATGAAATTATTATGTAAGAAACTTAGTGCCCAACCCCCAAAAAAACATCGCTAATATATGTAATGTATGTATATCCCTATAACTTACGTAACTAACGTAATAATTACTTAATGTTTTATGTATTAGGCGTTCCTGAGGCATATACTGTACATATGCATTTACTCTATATACTATATGTAAAGAGACATAGTATTTCTGATGATTGTCTACTTGTTAATACAATAATAAATAAGGCTATACACACACTCACACGCACATACATATATTACGTATACATTTATATGACAAAGTGGAAAAACTTTTTCCTTTTGACGCGTTTCATCCTTCAGGACTTAATCGGACTAAATCCCAGCATTCCTTATTCGTGCGCATGCGTCGTCGTACCAACATACCAAATTTAGTCCGATGAAGTCCTGAAGGATGAAACGCGTCAAAAGGAAAGTTTTTCCACTTAAATCATACATTTTCCCACTACTGTTCTTGATATATATATATATATATATATATATATATATATATATATATATATATATATATATAAGATAAAAACAAAGAGGAACCGTTTATCAATCTAACATATTTCACTTTTATTAAAGCTTTTCTTAATCTCTGATGAAGCATCAATAAAAATAAAATATGTTAGATTGATAAACGGTTCCTCTTTGTTCTTTATCGTATCTTCCTGTCGAATTCCGATCCATATTTGATCTGCATTTGATTAATATTTAATTAATTTTGTTTATGCATATACTATTAAAAAGGACAGACATTTTGTACCGATTGATATTAATGATCGACTTTTCCTTCTCAGATAAGGAGGAAATTCCGTCAAAAATTGTCGGATGTTCATTTCGGAAGAAAAGTACAATAAAAAAGACGAAACGTCCTACATAGGATATACCACAACTAAACTTTCACGTAGGTTCACTTGCCATCAAACAAAACATTCATAAGAAGCATAAGGATCATAGTAACATGAGAGAGCTCCTTACAAACAATACCAAAACACCAGTGACATAAAATAGTAAAAACAGACATATGATCCTCGAAGCTATACTCATACAACAAAACAATCATCAATGAATAAAAACAATTATGACTGTTGTAATTTCTGTAATTTTCTGTAATTTCTTTGTGACTAATCACTGAATAGAATAATCACACGAAGGTTGGTCATGGACGATAATACTTAGGACAAGAACAACACATATAAGATTCGCCAGCGGCGCGTAGAAGAAGTAGTCAACTGCTAGACGTGAGTCAAGTGAATGCCACAATGAATCTCCAACTGCAGGATAACTACCAACCGCCACACGCGGTCAAATATGGTACAAGGTCGAATTTAATGTGGGGTATCCGAACCTGTATGCTCAGCCAAAAAATTCCCGTAGACCTCATATAAAACGGGGTCGGTTAGTTGTTTCCCGTGACGAGATTCTGTCCTTCGACGTAGCCTCGTCTGGGGATCCTTTCTGCCCGGAGGCAGATAGTTTGACCAGCACAACTGGAGACGAATCTCCAACTGCAGACCAACATACAGTGTTTACTACTATATTTATGCGAATGGGAACATACCCATTATCGTCTGTAAGTATGCCACAGCATTAACTTAAGAGCCCGCGTCCTTAAATGTATACATAACAAACACACGTCACACTTCGCTTATGTCACAACACTGTTTACGTCACAACATATGCCACGCGCTTTCATGACATACTTCTAACAGCTTATTTAAAAAAAAATAGCTTTGGTACACCATTTCAAAGTTTTATTAAACTCACCAGTTGTCACTACCTATCCTGATGATGACTAAAAAAGTGAAAACTTGGACTATATTTCTTGTATTTTTCTTCTGAAATGAATTTCTGAAAATTTCTTGTGGAATTTCCGCGTTTTCTGTGAAGGAGAGTTCGTAATTTGGAAAAGTCGATCACTAAAATCAATTGACACAAAATGTTCATCGTTTTAATAGTATTGGCCTTTAAGAAAATATATATATATCGATTGGCGACAGTCTGTTTCATGTTTGAACTCAATCTTTATGCCATCTTATATTTACACACGATCTGTCCCGGATATTGAGTAATTTTACCACTTTTTTAGTACTTTATTTTTTAAATATAGCATACCTTAAAAATATATTTTACCATATATATATATATATATATATATATATATACTTGGTTGGATTCATGTGAGTTTGTGACCCTGAGTTTCACACTTTTGCGATCGTCAGACAAACTGATTAATTTTTTTAAAAATTTTGGTTTATGTAGATTGTGTGTATTGGTGTTGTTATGGGAGTGGAGGGGGAATCGTCGTCGTGATGTCATCGTGCTAACGCAAACATCGATGCATGTCTGTACATCAGATGAGGTACGCAGACACACATACACACTTGCTTGCCCATCGGGACTCATACATATATAAACATATGTGGACAGTTTCGGATTTGACATATGTATGTATATGGGTGGTGTTGTGTCTATACATACGCATTTGTATGTTGAAATTCAAAGATTGGAAGTGTAGCGAAAATTTCTCGTGAATGTCTCGTGAATGTATACATGCCAAAAATCAGCAAAAGCGTGAAACCCAGGGTCACAAACTCACATCAATCCAACCAAATATGTTAGCTCTATCTCTGATATTGAGCGCTTTCTAATAAGTACCGCGCATATAATATATAAATAATTATATATATATATATATATATATATATATATATATATATATATATATATATATATATACACACATTTTCACACACACACACACACACATATATATATATATATATATATATATATATATATACTCTTTATTTACACTGGTATGTGTGAGTTTGACTAATCGGTAATCAATTATGGTCATAGAATATCCTTATTCAAATGAAAAATATTCTTTCTTTCTACGTTTTTAGAGCTGAAAATTTTACAAAATAAATAATTTCACTTTTCTGAAACTAAATGAGTAAAATTAATCTCGAAATTTATATGATAGCAAATGTAGAATTCGCAATTAAATGAATAATTAATTTCGTTTCTCTCCGATGACGTGTTTATTCTTTAGTAACTTGTAATTCTGACTGTGTTCAAAATAATAATAATAATAATAATAATAAAGGATGTGTTTATTCACGGATATAACTTTTTCTATTTCTTATCTATATTATTCTCAAAATCTTATTAAATCATAGTTCTACATACACATGACATATTGCACATAAGGTCTGAATACACCTGTTATGTAAAAGAAATGTTGTAGATATTCTGTTTTTAAAAATAATTTTCTTTGATATATATCCTAAATTCAAGCGTGAGTTTGTTGACTTGGCATTCGATAAACAATTCATGAATTGATGGAATTCTTTTACGTCATTCATTAATCATTCGATCAATAAAAATTAATATGAACAAACAGTACGTTTGAATTAATCATAGGAGAGGCAAACAAAAAATCATTTTACATCCTTAAAAGAAAAAAGAAAACAATATTGAGTTATAAATGTTAAAATAGTTTCCCTTATACGAAACATCGATTCAATCCGAATGTATTAAGTCGACTTTGTCTTATCTTTATAAGAAAGTCGAATCATAGAGTCTAATTGTAAAATACAAAGCAAAAATAATGCTTTTTCTTACTTCTATATATATATATATATATATATATATATATATATATATATATATATATATATATATATATCAATGGCGAAGGGTCCATGTATGCAAATCATGTACTACATGCTTGAGATTTCTTCCAGGATATATAATTATGTTTGCGTAATAAAAAATTAATTACTGATATTTTTTATTATTCTCCTTTAATTCGTTTTCCCTTAAAAAGTAAATATCCTTTTCTTAAAAAAAAAAACAAACCCTCCGATTCCTTCATTTCTTAGGATAAATTGTGAACAAGCAACATTAATAGAATAGTGTTAGCAGAAAAGTCTCCTGCTTCCGTATACCACTCGCGCCAATTCTTTGCACAGAAGAACTGAGTGAAAAAAAAACCTTGAGAAATCAAGTGCGTGAGAAAAGAAAGAAAAGAGCGGTAGCGTTCGCTGGTTCTTCCTGTTTTACCCATACCTACAACACTTTAGGCAGGGGAGGGTGGAAATGGGGCATTCGATTAAAGGGTAAAGACAAGAAAAGAGGAGTGAGAGATCAAAGGCAGAAAAGCATGGACTGCATGTACCGTTTTCGCCAATTATATATATATATATATATATATATATATATATATATATTGATTCTGTATAACTTCGAAAAGAAACATTACTTTTTAAAACCGACATGTAAATGTGGAACAGTTTTTCTCTGCAAAATTTGAGGTGAATGTCTTTAATAAAGTGAGGTGCTTAATGTTACTGTTATAATCAGGGACCAAAAATGTACAAAAAAAAAAAAAAACGGATCCTAAAGACAAAACAAAATCTTTAAGGTTATAGAAAAATCGACAGTTTTTGTCGAATTAGTTCCTTTCTATGAAAGGAGTTCGATTTTTTTAAAGAAAAGTTTCTACGTTATAGCAATGGCACACAAAAAGTTAATCTTCGAAATTAACTGAAGAGATAAACTACTTCCACAAACTTTTTAACACATTCAAAACAGTCAAATTTTTTTTAAATGTTTGACTGTTTAATCGAATTTCTTGTTATTATTACAATTAAAGTTTTCTTTCGATTTTGTTATTTAGTCATTGTGCCTTAGCTTTTGCTTTGAGATGACATTTTTATTTGCATTAGAAATTTTGTTCGAAATTTAGATTTAACAATATTGTTTTTGTTTTTTTTAATCGCCTTTCTCTTCTGTTAATTCATTGCCTTACTTCAGAAAAAAAAAACCCTTGCTCAAAACGAGTGTCGGGGAAAGACCAATAGCAAATGTCGGCGCGAAAAAACAAGTGGAAAATTATTCCAATAAAATGGTTCATGAGAAACTTGCGAAAATATCTAATTTTCCTTCTCGCCGGCAGCAGTTCTACAGATATTGTCATTCGATATCTTATCAATTCTCTTCAATAATGCTTTATCCGGAATTAGTTTCTTTCTTTCTATCTATCTATCTATCTATCTATCTATCTATCTATCTATCACAGTCTGTTTCTTCCAATCTATCACAGTCTTTGTTTTTTTATATCTATCTATCTATCTATCTATCTATCTATCTATCTATCTATCTATCTATCTATCTATCTATCACAGTCTGTTTCTTTCAATCTATCTTTCACCACAGTCTGTTTCTTCCAATCTGTGTGCGTGTGTTTGTATATATATATATATATATATATATATATATATATATATATATATTATATCACAGTCTGTTTCTTCCAATCTCTCTATTTATCTATCATAGCCTGTTTCTTCTATCTATCTATCTATCTATCTATCTATCTATCTATCTATCTATCTATCTATCTATCTCTTTATGTATTATATTTTTATTCATTTCAATTTTTGAATAATTCTTAAAATATACCCAACTTTCGCTATATTTTCCTTGTCTTATTTTGCATGTTATTTTTTTATTGTAATTCTTCCTTAAGCCTCTACTTTCGTTTTTCTTTAAGTCTTCATCCTGTTTGTAGAGCTGGTTCTTCATAGAGTGCGCTTAGATTAGTCTGTTTCAAATGTTGGTCATAAATTCCCTTTGAAGATATGTCACATATTTTATATTGACTTTTATATTAAAATTGTTTCCAATCGAACTTCACGAATGTTTCATTTAACAGTATTAAATAGCAAGTTAGATTATCGGTAAAGGTAATCTTTTGGTCTACTTATGAATAATTATAATGCTAATGATATGAATTTTTATAATACACATTTCAAAACTGAAAATTATTGCTAACTATTTAAAGCGATCTGGTAAAAAAACTTCGCACTCTGAAACCTGGTTTTCCAGCAATAAACAGAATGTTGGTATTTAACAAATAATTTCTAATTTAGTTATGCAGCGTCGAAAATCTTTTTATGTATCAAATACACAGTTTATTCGACGTTTCCTTGCACGATTGTTTTCTAGCTATCTGCAAGTCAATGGCTTCAAGCCTACTGGCTGACGTGTGATAAACAGTATGTACATAAGTAAGTCTTTTTTATCAGATTAATAGAAATTGTACATATTTCACGAATACCTTAACAAGTCGGGGCAGCATTTATCAATGAAACAGTAAAGACGTGGCCGGCCAGGGATGACCTATTGATCGAGAATAAGTCCTATGAGTTCCCAAATTTTCAGACGAGCGTGGGTATGCAAAAGTATAATTTGCAGAACAGTTACGTGAACACACACAACCACGCGCATATTTAAATATATGCAAATATATGTAAATTATTTTTAGATAGAGTGTATCTGTAAAAGAGCAAAATGAATAAAAAGAGGCAAGAGGGAAAAGTATTCTTAACCGACGCGTTTCGTCACCTGCGGGACTTTATCAAGGCAATGTAGGTTTTTTTTTTGTTGCACGTGTTTATATACAAAAGCGAGGATGTCATTGGTTCATTCATGCACGTTTTCAAATTTAAAAGTCTTGATAAACCAATGATATCCTCGCTTTTGTATTTTAGCACTTGCAACAAAATAAATCCTACATAGCTTTGATAAAGTCCCGCAGAGTACGAAACGCGTCGACTAAGAATAGCATTTCCTCCTGTGTCTTATATGCATATATGTGTGTGTGTATGTGTGTGTGTGTATGCATGTATGTATATATGTAAATATTTGAACTACCGTAATACCACAAATGTTGGGCTCATTCCCTTGCAAGATGGTTGAAATGAAACACCAGAAGCTCTAAAAAGGCAGATGTATCAGGCTTCCATCAAATGTCGCTTCTTTCTATTTCATTCAATGTTAATGTTGTTATTATGGGAGATTTTCGAAATGACCACAAATAGTGATATCAAACGAAACCTTTCTTTTTTTTCAATTACCTCTATTATCAACATATAAACATCATTACTATTATTATTATTATTATTTGTACAGACATGAGTGTCGTCTGCTGAGTGCTGTATGGCTTAGCTGAGTCAATACTTGCACATTGTGAGTTCTCTAAGCTGAGTGGTCACTGTTCCTGTACGATATATTGAATAACAGACTATTTGTATTTGTTAATGATTATTTTTAACATTTTTTTTGTACCTCAAATTGGAAATTTGTAGTAGTTCCATAAAATTCTGGCCATTACTGATGTATATTGCGATTATGATCTTTAATTTCTTTTCTCTGTTTATTTTACTCTTTTTCCTCCTTTTGTCTAATGTTGAAGCAAAATAGCAAACACACACACACACACGCGCGCACACATACACACATATATATTATTTTTTCTGTGCTGAGTAGTTAACTTACCAACTTTTCAAATTCAACAATCAAAAAGTGCTCAATGAAAACAGAACTTTATAAAATATAAAATATGTTACCATTACTACTCGAGTTTCATCTCTCTATAGTGCTCACTAAGCTGGTGATAAATATATATATATATATATATATATATATATATATATATTATAATTTTTACATACGGACAAAAACAACTTGGGTACAGAGATGTATTCTTGTTTCGATGCGGTGGCATCTCGACTTTGGTTCTGACCAGTCGAGATACATCGAAACAAAAATGCATTTTTGTAGTGAACAAGTTGTTTTTGTCCGTAAAAAAATTATAATAAATGATTATTACTCTACTCTTGGTATTGAGCCCTCTTTTGTGAACGCTGTGAACGTTAGAATTTATATTATTTTCGTTCTCATTTTATTCGGATATATATATATATATATATATATATATATATATATATATATATATATATATATATATATATATATATATATGTGTGTGTGTGTGTGTGTGTGTGTGTGTGTCAACACAGTCTGTTCAAAGACATAGTAGAATGAAATTAGAGTGGTGATATTTTATATTTTCTGAATATTTATATATACCAACACAGACTAATGAAGCTTATAGCGGTGTGAAACTCAGTATAGTTTTAATATGTTTTACATTTTCTGAACATATCTAAATACTATATATATATATATATATATATATATATATATATATATATATATATATATATATATATATATAAACGGTGCTGAATATTCCCAAAATCAGTACTTTGATGAAGAAGCATCAGAATGCTACTTTGGGAAGTAGATTAGACCGAGAACTTTTCAGCACCCACTCTTATATGTAATTTTTTCATTTTTATTTGCTTTTTCGTTCTTTTTTTTTTGTTTGTTTTATTTTTCTGTTTAAACATTTATTATTTTATTCTCTTGTTTTTCCAAATAACTTTGCTCTGTCCTTTTTGATATTTTGCACATTTCATAATAAAATACCAAATTTTCTCCGTATCTTCTTTCTTTCTTTTCACTCACAGCACTCTTTCAACTTATCTTTCAAACCCCTTAATTAAAAAAAAAAATATGAAACTTCTTTTTCTCTTTTTGCTGCATCTATCACCCGTTCAAATTGATTTTCTGTTTTCTATTTAAGAATTTTTTCTAATATTTACCTTTCTAGCATTGCAAACTTTTCGTCCATTTTTAAGAATTAAGCTACAAACATAAAAGAATGATGTAAAGATGTTGAAACTTTCGTGAAAACAAATAAAAAATTAATTGAATTAATAAAGGATAAAAATATAAATAAAAAAAAGAAAGAAAAGAGATAAAAATCATTTATAAATTTCTTGTTGACAGAGCAACTTTTAAAAACTTGTCAGAGTTGATTCTTAAAATTATTAAATGTACCAATTTTTCCGAAGATTCTTTCAAGTCAATTCGTTTCCATCAGACCAGCAGTTCAGTTTGAACTTCGGGTTTACCGCCAAAATATTGTCGGATGAGCGTTCACGTAGACTCCTCGTCTCAATTATGAAGAACATGTTTGCATGAAGGAATGACTCCTTTCAATATGTTGGATGCATGGATATATATATATATATATATATATATATATATATATATATACGTATATATATATATATATATGATATAACATATCAATAATGTATGCATTATACACACACCTATGTTTGTATTTTTTCATATATGTATTTATCCTTGTAGCAGACAATGATGGGTGTGTGCGCGTGTATATGCATGTCTTAATAAAGAAAGTTACACTCTATCCCTCTCAGTAACTGGTGCATAATCACGTTCCAATCCTTACCAGTATTAAACATAGACTGCTGCTGATAATAGCTTCATTACTAAAACGTGATTATATGTCCGGAAAATGTCAAAAGATTGTACTCTTCAGAATAAGTTTTTATTTGCACATCATTCATTCATATATATATATATATATATATATATATATATATATATATATATATATATATATATAAGCAAGTGTAAATGGATATAAATCCGACAGAATGAAAAATTTTGAAAAAACAAACAAAAAACACCTTAAATGTAGTTAAATGAAAATGTCGACGTCTGACGTTTCGGTTTATTAAACCTTTTTCAACGTTCATCAAAAATACAATTCAGTTCAATATTCTATAAATACGATGGACATAAAAACACAAGTCTTATTCAGAACAGATAACTGAAAATTTTTAAATGATCAGCCTTCCGTCTAACATGGTCACGCTGTCGTCATGTGGGCGACGCTTTCACAAACAATATTCCTAAAGTTTGGATTATTTTTTGAAATGAAAAAAAAAAAAAAAAAATGAAAAATTCTATTAGGTTCCAAAAATTCTATATGTATGCTTGTCGATAATCTCGCTAAAAAGGAAATATTAAAGAAACCAGGTCTAGTATTCACCGTGCGTGAGATGGATATTATACCTGCTTCATAAAAAACCTCCTGAGATTTTATTATGAAAATATTTTAATACTTTCACGGAATCGAAATCGAAATTATGATCTGCTTTTAGTTGTGTGTACAACTAAAAAGCATTATTAAATTACCGAGACGAATATCTCGTTTATGTTCGAAAAAACACGAGATTTCATAATCTCATAATCTAAATGCATTAAAAATTAGAACTACTATATTACCTACTAGGACTATCCGTAGTTTATTAAATAGCACCAGCAGACAACATATTACATCCGATGCTTGCATCTATCAAATATCATGCAAAATTGTGACCCTAAATATGTGGGTGAAACAGGTAGGTCCTTAAAATCTCGTGTTTTCGAACATAAACGAGATATTCGTCTCGGTAATTTTAACAATGCTTTAGTTGTACACAACTAAAGCAGATCATAATTTCGATTTCGATTCCGTGAAAGTATTAAAATATTTTCATAATAAAAATCTCAGGAGGATTTATGAAGCAGGTATAATATCCATCTCACGCACGGTGAATACTAGACCTGGTTTCTTTTAATATTTCCCCTTTTTAGAGATTGATGCTCGACAAGCATACACATAAGAATTTTGGAACCTAATAGAATTCTTTTCATTTTTCTTTTTTCTTTTTTCA